CTTGCAATTGTTTCCTGATGCCATGTCACGAGATGACTTTTCTTTCTTTCTTTTTTTTTTTCTTCACCCTTCAGCACGGGGCAGTCCTGGCCTACATCCTGGACCACCTGCTGCCCCAGTGCCAGACGGCCGGGGACAAGGACTGCCCGGCCCTGGCCCAGGTGCTGTTGGCCAGCATCGCCTCCAGCAACCACAGCCCCGAGGCACAGTCCATCCTGGTGACGGAGACCAAGGCCGCCCTGGCCCGGGCCCTGGCCCTGCCGGAGAGCTCGGAGAAGCATGTCCGTGTCCAGTCGCTCACGTGTAAGTCAGTGACTTCTCATAGATTTTTCTGGATTTCAGGATTTTTGTTCCCAAATTCTGGGTTTGTTGTTAAAGAAGGTTAATCATTCAGGTTTTGCTGTGTTCTTGCGCTTGGTACAAGAAAAAGAACACCTGTAAAAATCAGATGATATAACCAGTTGGGACAAAAGTCATCCTTTAGTTTTTAAAAAGCCCCCAAAAGTCTTATAAGTTTATCGTCGGTCTTTGCGATCCCTCAGTTGGATGTTTGATGGATTTGTTTCCATATCCTTAAATCTTACCACTGGTGAATTCATGCTTGCTGAGTTCCTAGACTGAACTTTAACCCCTTCCAAATACTTCAGAATCCTCCTGATCGGTTTTCATTTTGAATACTTTTTTTGTTTGAAGTATCCAATACTTAGTGTGTCATTGCTGGAAAACGTAGGCCCTGGCTTGCAGTTTGGCTCAGTGCAGCCTTGGCACGATGCAGTTTCAATTTGACCTTCCACTTGTGCTCAATCCAACAAAATCCAACAGCTGTCGGTCTTTCTAATGCATTTGGCGGGAGCAGGTGTAAGTGTGTGACTCTGAAGAAGTTGAAGGTGCTGTCTTAATCCGGATTAAACACTAGTGCTCGAGGGCGGTATCCGAAAATAATAGGACACTGTTCTGTTCATGACCCCAGTGGTGACAAGCTTCGTCTGTTCCTCTCGCAGTGCTGATCAGCGTCATGATCGAGGCTTGCCCGCCCCCGGGCTCGGCCCAGCAGCAGCAGCAAGGAGGGGGCTACGGCAGCAAGCACCACCCAAGTGCCATGAACAACATGATTCGCCTGCTGCTGCGCAAGGGGCTGGCGGTGGACCTTGCCCGCGTCCCCCACAGCCTGGATCTGTCCAGCCCCAACATGGCTGCCACCGTCAACTCGGCGCTTAAGCCCCTGGAGACGCTGTCACGTGTGGTCAACCAGCCCAGCCCTGGGGTGGGCACCGGCCTGGGGAAGGCGGTCCTCAAGCCGCGGGCTGGAATCGGGCGCAGTTCGGCTCTGGAGGATGTCGGGCACTCCCGCAGTGTCACCGGTAAGTCACTCTAGAGAGATGGAAAAATCAAGGCGTGTCTGGCTTAAAGATTCCTGACCAAGGGAACAAACTACGAGTAGAGGTGTGGCTTTGCGCACTGAAAAGTCACACAGTGCCTGGTTCTTCAGACGTGTAATCTTTTGTTAGCCCTGAACTCTCTCACAATAGAGGGGTTTTACCATTGCAGGCAACTTGTACACTGTCAATCAAATCAATGGAACCAATAGCCCAAGACAGAGCAGAGGCAATTAAAGACCTTGATCAGGATGCTGCCATGTTTGTCTTGTTTCCTGTAGACCCACTGGCAATAGTAATACTTTTGATGAAAGGGCACAGACTATCTTTCTTTTTATCTAGCCTCAGTTTGGTTGCATTGCTTTCAATGATAGAAAAGCATAATGGCTAAAGGCCGGCGACCATTTAGACCCGGTTTGAAAAGGGCCCCCCGGTAGCCTCCCCTGTATAATGCCTGCCCGGTATTCAGGCTACTCCAGGCCAGTATCAGGCCTGTCTGCACGTCGGCATTTCAAAGTCCTTGACAGAAGGCTTCCCCAACCATGCTTCCACAGATGAATAGGGGTCTAAGCAGATTAGTGTAAACATTGTATAGTGCTGAGGGATTGAAAACCACAAGCAGGTTCCTTCTGGGATAGATTACATGTACCAGTACTTGCAAACAATAGACCCCAGGATGGAGAAGTTCGAGATCAACAACCAGTCCAGAATCCCAGGCCGATAGCCAGGCCGGTATGAAAGGGGTTTTTGCAACAGGGCGAGCTTACCGGGAGGCCCTTTTTAAACCGGGTCTAAATGGTCGCCGGCCCTAACCTGTGACAGAGGTCTGTTGGAGAGCCTGTTGGTCAAAGCAAAGGATTATAAAAAGCCCAGAAGTGGCCCAGTCACTGGTTCCAGTCTGCTCCCTAAATTTGTGAAAGACCTCCTGTACAGCTATAGTAGTAACATAGTTTAACAAATTATGGATGTTCATTCGTGCACCTTCCCTTACACCTGTTTCCTTGCTCCATGGGCTGTTCTGAGAAGGCCAGCCTTCGAATCGTGTGTCTAGGTCAGGGTATTCACCAGTTCGCAACTACGTGAGCATATGCTGGCGACGTACAGAGCCATAGCTCTGGAAGCCCGTTCGTTACAGGGTCTAAGTTTCCTTTTTTGTGAACTCCAACATCTGAGTTGAGTTTTCCTTTGGTGATGTTTTCGTTAACACTGACAAATGTGAGCGACTGACGCTGGCAAGCGTCTGTTTAGTGTTGGCTGACAGTAGCTTTTTTTTTTGTTAACCCAAACAACATATTCCTTCCCGTCGCTCTGATGTCCTCCCAGGTGACTACAACAAAGTGTGATCTTAGAGTCATTACATGCCTACCTACTTATCACGGACAGCATAGCAGATAAAGAAATGGATATACCTGTAAAGCGGTGGCCCTACCCCAAAGTTGTGAAACTTACCTGTCGAGAAAACAATATGAAAATTTCCAACCAAACTTTGAAGGCATTTAGTTTTACGGTTAGGCAGGACTTTGGAATAATAATATAAATGTTAACCCCCATTTCTTCTGAGTAGTCTGCTGAGGGCACCCTTGTACGCAGGCGTCCGTCTGTGTACATGTCGTAGATACACTGTAGATAAGATGGACGGTTATTCTGAGCTATTTCCCTCTGTGGTGCGATGCACTGACTTTGAAATATGTATGCCTGCACGGTTTACACCACACAGGCAACTCACTGCAAAGTGGGAACAGTCTGGCCGCAATGGGCGAGCTGCGAGGTGGGGTCTCCCGTGGGAACACAGGTGGGTCCGTGCCAAGACCAACACCCGCCTGCTTTGCCTGTCTGCCCGAGTGCTTGTCTGCATGCTTGTCACTGTGTTTGCTGCCCCGGACTCTTTCCTTTATTGCACGGTCACTAGCATTCTCCCCCCGCCCTTCCCTTCTTTGGTTTGACTCTTTGTAAGTGTGGGCATTTTGGAAAGAGGAGGAAATCTGTTCCGTGTGATGCATGCAGAAAATTGCATTCCAGTATTTTATGATAAAAACTCCTGTGTCCTTTTTACGGTTTGTTGTAATTTTTCAGTCTGAAATCAGCTACTTCGATGCCAACTTCGTAAAATTTGTACTCCCTTGGCATGTACCGCATGTATGGATTGTTGCTATCACAGGTGCTTGTCAAGACAGTTCTCATTGGGGTACTTCCTGAAATGTGACTGACCCGACAAAATGGACCTTGAGGGCAGTTTGAAGTCTTTGGGCCAATTTCATAGTGCTGCTTATAGCAAAAGATTTGTTTAAGTGGGAAGAAACCTTGCTTGACAAATCTAGTTACCAGCCAAAACTTCTTGTGATATACATGTAGGTTATTATATAAATTAGAGGTCCAACTTGGGGGACATTTTGGTGTTCTGTTACGGGTGAAATCATTCAGCTTTTCTGGATGGAACTAATATTAGTACTGTTCACATTCTGTAGATCAAACAGGATTACATTGTTTATGACTTGTACAATATACCGTTCAATCTGCACAATGTTGGATAATGTTGTTACAATTTTACACGAAGAAAAGTGGAATGGCTTCACATGTAACAGGACACCAAAATGTCCCCAAGTTGGACCCCTATTTTATAGAATCACCCATGTATATTGTTTTGGAATGCTATTGTCTTTTGGTTAGCCTGACAATCAAACAGAGTTTGAGCTGGTAATCTTTGTTTTTTAAGCAAGGTTTTTTCGTGCTTCAGCAAATTCTGTGCTTAAGCAGCTCTCTGAAATTAGCCCCTTGTTTTAGTTTCTGTTTGAAAGAGTGAACAAGTTCTTTGGTTAGATGTGCCACTCGGTTAGTATCCTGATGAAAATGGACATTGTGTGAGGGGAAAAGTGCTAGATTACTGTTAATTTACATTGCGCAAGACTCTTCAAAACCTGCAACCCCAAAGTGGCTTTGATGTCCCGTAGCTCACATCGTTATAAAGTTGAGTCACAAATTGGGGCTGTGGTCAATCGTCGTACTGTGTATCTGTGGTGTTAGTTCTGCAGGTACTTATGCTTTATATCTTTGCCGCTGACCTAATGCTACTGCTCCGTACACTTATTGTGTATGTGCAGTTTAAATCTTGTGTCTGTATGTCTGATTCGTATCAGTTGTTCACAGATAGTTGACAATGATTTGCATTGTGTCTTAGTGTCATTTTTAGGTCTAGTGGAGAATTGCATGTGATTGAATGGACGTTTCAGATGTGCAGTCTAGGTTCCAGTCTTATGGCTTTGCTTTACAGATGGCATTGTATAACCAGTCTTTGTGTGTCTAAACTTAGCAGAGAACCAGTTACGAGTGGTATATTATGTATGGCATTTTGGGCTGATAATCCTGTTCATGCTGTGTTCGTAAGTAAGACTTTCCTGCACTTAGCAGTGCCTTGAAGTACACTTCAGATTTTGAGCGTAGCGTATGTCATGCTTTGTTGATCGTCTCTTTTGAGTTGCTTTGTCAGCAGTTGTCAGTGTATTACTCAAAAGAACTGTCTATAACTCTTTGCTGTATTTTTATTTTATTTTTTGTGGGGGATGTGGGTTCATGAAAAAAAAAAGTCAAAAGTGTAGAAAAACCTGAAGATTTTTGCCACACATGGGAAAAGATTGTAAATTTAATAAAAAGAAAGAAAAGTGGGGTTGGATAATTCTCTTCTGTTCATTGCCTTCCAATTTTCCTTCTGGCATGTCCTGTCCAACGCAAGCCTTCCAGAATTCATCAAACTCTGCTGAGATTGTTCATGTATATGTACAGAGAATGAGCCATTGGTTTTCTGCATGGTGAATGAATTTGGGAGGACTCAGGTTTGTCCAATGAAAAGTGACTAGGAATGGATAAAAGGGAAGAATCCGTGGGTGAGCAGTTAGGCTTTTTGCCGGCCAGGTGATGCATTTCAGGGCTAAAAGTTTTGCTTCCTTCCTTGTTGACATTTGTCTTTGTTTGTTCCAATAACTACTTTCAGGACTTCTTAGCCAAAACCTTCAGGATGTCATCAACAACACTCCGACATCACAGGCCACTGCTGCCATGGAGGTAAGAGCTGGCCACCTTTTCCTTTTTTGTATTGAAATTTTTTTTCCATTCATCACCTCCACTCACCTTTCTACCACACCATAACACTGACAAACCACCGCCGGCCAGACAGAACACGAAATGTTGCATCTGCCGGATACCATTTGTTTAAATAAGATTGGCCCTTCATCTACATTAAAAACGGGAACACTATATGTTGTTGACAACCTTTCATGGCTTGCTTAGGCTGGATGTAAACCTGTGACCTCTCAACTGCCATGCATTTTTCTAGCCAGTTAACCTCTGAGCGCGCAGCAGTTGGCAAGCTTGACGCAACTGTTCTGTTATAAATACATGTCATTTCTTCTTATGGCTGGACACTGTGATATGTTCCTGGTGAAGAATTACTGGAGAGGTACAGTGTGCAGTGAACATTGTGGTTTCTGAGCTCTTTGATGTTGGGTGGTGGGCCTTGAGCATGTACTCAAGACCATAAATCATAACCTCCTGTGAACCACTGTTTAAGCACGAATACCTTAGTTCCTCAAGGTATTCATCTGTGAATCCCCACCAAATTGACTCGACCTTGTTCTTGCGTTTTTGCTCCATCCAATCAGAGTCGCACAGAGCTCGACGACATCATGGACGAGCTGTTAGAGAGGGGTCGGGAGCCGACATCCATCTTGGGAGAGACCCTGATAGCGACTGGTCCCGAGAGGCTGGGGTCCTTGGGCTCTGGGTTCCTTGACCAAGCGGGTGAGGACGGAAATCACATTCACCTATCCCCTATGTCTAACTTACCCTCGTTCCTGTTATTCCATAGACTCTATGCTCTGGCTTTGTCAAGATTACACTCATATGGCCAGCTGTATTATATGCATCTGTGGGAAAGAGATTTAGCTGATGATTTCCACGGGTACATTCACTGCTCCGATGTGACTTCCTAAGCTGGAAAAATACAATATGGTAGTGTTACCACTGGGCACTTAAGCCCTACTCCTGTTGTATGCCTAAGAACAGCTGTGTCCTCGTATAGAGATTCAATGGGTTGTGCTAATTCCTTTGTAAATTAGCCATGCACTTGTCATATATGGGAGTCAGTAGGCTTACCATCACTACGTACTGTTCTTGCACAGCTGATCCCTGAAACATGTGTGAGGTTTTGCGTTATGTGGTTTGCATTGAATGCAGTCTTACAAGGTGTTCTTTGTTGTCTTGATATCGTTTCCGGAGTATTGCACGCATGAGTTAAAGATTAACCTTGAGAGTATGGACAGAAACAGAGTGAGAGAAGGCAGAAGTTGGGATAGGTTTACATTTGTTTGTCTCGTTCTCATAGGTGATGCCTCTCAAGATGAGATGGTGATCACCATGACGGACGAAGGCGAGGAGATGGACCACGCCATGGAGGATGCAGAGATGAATAATCACCATAGCAACGAAGAAGAAACGGCTGGTCAGTGCACATGAGCAGTGATAGCTTAGAATAGTGAAGTAACTTATTGTTATGGCAACTGAAAAAAGTTGTTACTTGGCACGCTCGAAGGCAATGTTGTTTTCTTCCACATACTTTAAGCCATATCCTTTTGTTTTTTAGACTTATAAATTTTGTTACCTCAGTAAAAATCCTTCAGTCAGCGTCTTTGAGTCACAATAACACCCAGTAAGTCCAGTCGGTAATGTTTTGGTGTCCTCGTTTCTTTTATTTTCAGACATTGACGGGGATGGGGACAGCGTCCATGACGGAGATTCAGCAGCCGAAAGCGATTCTGATGATGATAGTGAAGATCAAAGGGTAAGTACTTGCAATGTGGATTCCTACTGGGTAACGGGGCAAGTTTCAAAAGCCAAAAAGAAATAATCTCAGGCAAGGAAGGGAACTTGCTTGTAGAATTGATGAAATTAGAAGTGTTCACGCAAACAGTTTTAAGATCTACACAAGGCTGAGTTGCAGTGACCTCCGCTACAGTGCTGATTGTTGGAGGAAGTCAGAAGCAACCAGAAGGGATAGAGCTCCAATCTCACGGATATGGCTGTTATCCCTTCAAAATGACCTTCATGTTAGGCTTAAGTGGGATCTGTCCAGTATCCATGCCTGTTGGCAGCGGCTTGCTCTTATGTTAATGAGAACATTTTTCTTTGTCCTTGTACCCAAAGTTTCTTGAGTGCCACACTGCTCAGCTTTTTGTCCACTGTCCAC